GATCACATTGCTGTCTAACATTGCCATCATTTGTTCAAAAAAATACGTTCTCCTGTCAAAATAATCTTCCATGAGCTTCTGAGTGTGTATAATTTTATAGGAATGCATTTTGTTTTCTTTTAATATTCGAATTACCGATGAATAGCTAATATCGAGTACTAGAGCTACTTTTCGAATAAATGTATGTGGGTGTTCCTCAAACTCAAGCATAACAGCCAATTTGGTATCCTCACTTATTGCATTGGCAGCTTCTTTTTTTACCTTCCTAACATGGCCCAGCTCGTGGAATTGCTTCTATATTTTACTAATTGTCCCTTGAGATATGTGTGGCAAATCAGGAAATTCTTCGTGAAATAAACGAGCTACTTCCATTTGCGTCCTTGTCTTATCTCCATAGCCAATCATCTGTATAATTGTAATTTTGTGCATTTCTGCTAAATGAACCATTCTTCTGGTTTTGCGGTTAATGAAATTCAAACGACTATAGCACTGACAATTCTGTCATGGAACAATAAAACATTGGCGTTTTAAACCAAAGTAAACAATTTTTTTAACATATCAATAAAAAGCAATGCTTTAATAATAGTTTATGCTTACTTTATCACAGTGGCGACTCGTGGCTTGAGAGACAAGGTCGGCAAGGTATTTTTTGTTTCCTCAGATCGGTATACCGTCTAATAAAGAGTTCAATCATCATAGGAGATTTTTTGTTTTCTTGTTTTTTGTTTTTTTCCTATAAATTTAGAACCCAAACATGTTTATAAATTAACTCTAGTCTACGTTGTTTGAAAGTAGCAAAATGGGTAATAAGGTCATCGTAAAATTTATTAGGGTTTTGGAGAGATTTTAAAAGTTTTTTTTTCTCTTGACATTTGAGACAAGCTTTGCATTCTCTCTTGTTTCATGGTATTTCGACAATACGTTTTGATTCTTTTGAGGCAAGAGAAATCTCATTCATTTGAGGCAGACGTTGGTGGTAATGAGAGAATTAATGACAATAATTTATTAATTTCGGTAACAGCTTGTTGAAATGAATTGCAGTATATAAAATTATACATATCTTGTAACTTATCCCATCTTCCGAAAATATTGGGTTCAGCATATAAAACTTTTAATTCATTTTCTAATTTTATTTTATAAAAGAATGATGGATAATTTTTAATTAACCTGTCTAATAAATATCTTGGAAGTTCTTTGGCGTAACTTTTAAATTTTGAATCGTCAAAGAGGTCAAAAATTTGCAAATCTTCAAAACTCGAAAAACAAGTATCTATTTGCATAATAATAGTATCCAAAATTTCAAAATGTACTCGTTTTTCGAGATCTGTTTCTGTGTCATGCCTTTGTTTTTTTTTTGGGGGGTTCGGAAATATCAAGCGAGTCTAAAACGTCACTGCGTATATACTAGAAATTACAATCATTACGAAAATCTCTGAGATTTTGCACCAGTCTTGTTATTCTATTTTTGGAATGAATAATGTCAGTTAACTGATTTTGAACAACATTGAATATCAAATCGGTTTGGATAAACACTTTTTTAAAAATATTTAAACGTATGTTAAAAGAGTAATCATTTAATAAAGTTTTCAAACCGATTGCCTCACGGATCGAGATATCATCACTTTCAAAATCGTCACATTCAATAATAAAATCAAAAACTTCCAAAAGCTGTTCACGAAAATCTGCTACAGTGAAAACTAACCGAGATTTAAAATTCTATCGCGTCTGACAAACTGTTGGCATTTTTTCGAAACAAACCGTTCTAAAACATTAGCCCGTTTAGGCGAGCTTGAGAAAAATGAAGCAAATGCGCTTAAACTGACAAAAAAGACAACATTCTTTAATATTTTTACATGTATCCTGCAAAACTAAATTCATTCTATGCGCATGACAGTGAGTAAATAAAGCTTGCGGTGCAATAGTTTTAACTTTTGCCTGGAGACCATTTAATTCACCAGACATCACGGCAACGCCGTCAAAAGTTTACTTTACCAATTTATTTTTATGATCAAAAAATTTTAATCTGTCCTTTAAAACACCAAAAATATATTCTGCCTTATGGCTTTTACTCACGTCTGTAAAACCCAAAAACCTCTCATAGATAATACCACGTAACGCGTATCGAACAACAATTGATAAATGTGAATGACATAATATGTCGGTAGTTTCATCTACTTCTAGTGAAAAGCAAATTGTTTCCTGAATCTCAGATTCAATAACGTTATTCAAAATGTAACTAATTGATTCTATTAATTCATTCTGGATTGTTTTATATACAGCGCTAAATGTCTTCGAATCAGAAAGTAAATTAGAAAATTCCAAATAGTATTTCTTAAACGTTTTTATTAGTTCTCTATAATTACCTTGATTTAACTAATGCTCCGATTCATTGTGTCCCCTAAAAGATAGTTCCTGTCAACTTAAAAAAACTACAATATAATTAAACGACGTAAAACTGCGTGATTATTTTTTACAATTTCGATTATGTTTAATAGTATTTTCACGTTGGGCATTATCTAATGAAACATAGATATTTTGTTTTTCAAATAAATCTAATTTAATGTGACTGTAAGTATGATCTTTCGAAATATCATGTTTATGTAAAGTCCTAAATAATTCCTTTGAATTATCGTAACCAGATTCACACCACATCGTTAATTTACCTGAATTTGTTTACACTTTAATTAAAAAAACAACTTCTAATATGTAAAAAACCCTTTAACTTTTAACTATTTACGGCAGATGTAACTTATCACAGTATTACTTTAGAAAATAAAAATAAATAAAAAAAAGGCTAGTTCGTGCACTGAATATCACTTTACTTTACTATTTACGTTCTTATATGAAATAACATTTCATCCCGCGCTCGCAATGTACAGTTCGCGACCACTCAGCAATCCAAGTTTTAATTAAGTTCATATAAAAAGAAATGTATATTTGATTTCTAATCAACTAATATTCCGTTGATTTTTACAAGTAAATCGTCAAAGTTGGGATCGGCTTGACGAAAAAACAAAACGTGCCTTTTTAAGAATTAACAAGATGGATGTCTCCGATATCGGATTATCAATTTGAAAAGTGTCTACACAGGGATGACTTAACGCTCACATTGGACTTATTCATTTAAAAACCACGAATAAAATTTAGTCTGGTCAAATTGGTCGAATTCTTTTAAAAACCATGAATAAAATTTAATCTTTATTATCTCACAGGTATTTTTTTATTTCGCAAAAACAAATGACATCAACTGATTACCTGCCACAATTATTTATTGAAATACTGATTAAATTAAATATAAAAAAAATCTAAAGCTATTTTCTTGTGGCATTGTAAATTAATTACTATTTATAACTGGGAATAAGCCACAATTAAAGATAAAAATACGTTTATTGACGTTTCAATTTCCAATTCGGAAATCGTTCTCAAAATACAAACAGTAAATTAAACAAATTTTGTTTTTTGTTACATAGTGAAAAAATTCTTCTAATCATTTAATTTTATCTGACTCATTTATATTGACAATTCAGACATACATTATGCATTTTAAAGTAGACGACTTTAAAATGATATTGCCAATATTGTTGAGTTGCGCTCCTGGGACGACTTTACTTATAAGATAGTTCATTCGATTACATGAAATCAACTTTAACTTGAGAATATCCGCCAGAAAAAATCATAGCATGTAATTCGTCTTTAAAAAGACAAACACATGACATGATGACAGTAAAATTCTCCTGTTAGTGATTCCATAGTAAATTATGAGGGAAAAACCAGGAAAAAACCTCATAACACTATCCCGACATTAATAAGAAAATACCAGTATTAGTAAGTCAGTAACATATAGAGGATACATCATTTATGTTTTTTAAATAACGTAACATATAAAATCAGAATTTTGATGTTTGTTGAAGGTAAACTAAATTCACGAACAAATACTTACAATGTCAGGATAGTATTATGAGGTTTTTTTCCTGGTTTTTCCCTCATAATTTACTATGGAATCACTAACAGGAGAATTTTACTGTCATCATGTCATGTGTTTGTCTTTTTAAAGACGAATTACATGCTATGATTTTTTCTGGCGGATATTCTCAAGTTAAAGTTGATTTCATGTAATCGAATGAACTATCTTATAAGTAAAGTCGTCCCAGGAGCGCAACTCAACAATATTGGCAATATCATTTTAAAGTCGTCTACTTTAAAATGCATAATGTATGTCTGAATTGACAATATAAATGAGTCAGATAAAATTAAATGATTAGAAGAATTTTTTCACTATGTAACAAAAAACAAAATTTGTTTAATTTACTGTTTGTATTTTGAGAACGATTTCCGAATTGGAAATTGAAACGTCAATAAACGTATTTTTATCTTTAATTGTGGCTTATTCCCAGTTATAAATAGTAATTAAAAAAAATCTATAATATCTATAAAGGTGTGGGCCGCCTGCCGACCCTGACCGGCCGCCACTGCTTTATCATTACCAAGACCTAAATGGGTAAGAAGTGTTAAGGCAGTGGTAGCGGCTTTCGACAAATAAATAATTTTCTTTTCTAAAAGTGAATGTTTGCATTTTACTAAATATTTACGAAACAGTCAAATATAGGTATAGGTATATTGTATTTAAAAAATGTCAAAAATGATCTGAGGAATCTAAAAATTAATAAATATACAGGGTGTTCTATTTAAAATAAGTAAGTTGGTATTGGCCACCGTTATCTGATACACCCGTATAAAAAGTTTTTATGGAAAAAAATGCGCAACTATAAATTCTAATCGACGTGTTCGACGGTTTTTTCGAATACTTTCTCATTTATTTATTAGCTAATTTATTCCATTTGGCTGACACACTGATAACTATTAAGAACCACTTAAATAAGAAAACCCGGGAATTTCATGGAAAAAAAGTAGTCTTGGTTATAACTAGGACTTTAAGTATTATTTTTCCACCGATTCAGCTATTTCTAGTTTTGAATTCCTTTACAAAGCTTTTTATAAATTTATATTTTTCTAGGTGTTATTAGAGCTTTAAAAGGTTTCGGTCCTGGAGTCACACCATCAATCCATTCGGTCGTAGGCGGATGTTCAGGACATATATTAAGATCAAAATTCTGCAAAAGAACTGCCAAAAATATAAATACATTAGCTCTAGCTAAAGATTCTCCCAAACATCGATGCTTTCCAATGCCAAATGGTATAAAACTATCCGGCAGAAATATTTTTCCGTTTTCTAAGAAACGTTCTGGTTTAAATACGTCTGGATTCTCGTATTCACATCCCTCTTCTAACATACATCCATAGAGATTGGCTATAACCAACACATCCTGCAATATAAATGAACATTTTTAATGTAAAACGAACTTTGAATTTATACACACTTTTATAAACAATAAAAATTAAGAATTTTGTTAAGATAGCATTTTTAACGTATTATAAAATACGTTTAACCACACTTGGGACTTGGGAGTACTTAAAATCATACAATGTTAATGACAAAAAACGAAATAACATAACCAGACTGTCAAATAATTAATGTCGCATATTGAATACTTAAGGAGTGAATTATTGACCGTTTACTTTAAAGAACAAATAGACTCGCATACTTTTGAGTACTTTTATCAACCGGTGTATAATTAAATTTTTAATCCGTTATATATTTATATATATATATATATATATATATATATATATAAGGTTCTTGAACTCCTAAGTGGAGCATAGAGCTTCAGTGAAAACGCGCCATCGGGTTCTATTTTGCGCTAAGGCCGTCACCTCATTCCAAGACTTTCCTTGTTTTCTTATCTCGTCCATGATGGATCTTCTCCAAGTTTGTACTGGGCGACCTTTTTTTCGTTTTCCTTGGGGATTCCACTCTAGGGCAGTCTTTGCAATATTGGAGTTATTTTTTCGGAGTGTGTGACCGATCCAACCCCACTTTCTGGACTTTATTTCATTTACTACCCTCTTTTGTTTGGTCAGGTGTAGTAAGTCTTCGTTTCTGATGATGTTAGGCCAGAAAATACGAACAATTCTTCGTAGACATTTATTAACAAAGACCTGCAGTTTGTCTGTAAGGGTTTTTGTCGCTTTCCAGGTTTCACATCCGTAAAGTAGTACAGACATGACATTTGACTGGAATATGCGGATCTTTGTCCTCGTAGTGTATTCTCCAGACCTCCAAACAGGATTGAGCATGCTGAAAGCTTGTTGCGCTTTTCGTATCCTCATACGAATATCGTCTTCTCTACCTCCGCTTTCTGTTATGACACTTCCAAGATACGTAAAGTTTTCCACATTTTCAATCTGCATGTTATTAATGGTGAATAGCGTGTTGTTTCTTTCATTTATTCTCATGGATTTGGTTTTACTAATATTGATTTTCAAACCTATTTTATTGGCTTCAGTGGAAAGTGTTTCCAATTGGTCAGCCACATCTTGGAACCTTTGTCCTAACAGGCAGATATCGTCGGCGTATTCTAGATCGCTTAGGCGTGTGGTTAACGTCCATTGTATCCCTCTTGTGTCAGAGTCTAGTTTGGAGAGAACATAGTCTAGAGCTATGTTAAAAAGAAACGGAGAAAGCACGCATCCCTGTCTGACTCCAGTAAGTACGTCAAATTCGTCACTGTTGATCCCATTGTGTGTCACGCTGCATTTCGCTTCAGTGTACAGAAACTTTATAATGGAAATTATTTTATGCGGGACGTTTCTTAGCTCTAAAATTTTCCATATTGCATCATGAGATAAGCTGTCAAAAGCACGCTCGAAATCAACAAAAACCATGTATAGGGGTGTGTTCCATTCAACCGATTGTTCCATTATATGATATATATTTACTTTAGAGTAAAATTATAACGTTATATTACTCTACCTGGGGGTTATAAGCGCTATGACTAGGTGGATTGAGTGCTCAGAAGATGTGTTCATGCCCACAGCCGGTCCCAAGCCCGGATAAAAGAGGAGGGTTGATAGTCCAGGTTAGCATCTTACCCATTGTAAAAGAAAACAAGGCTTAAAGAACCAATATAAAGCCTCAGAACCAGACGGAACCTAAGATGACGAACCACGCAAAGAACAGGAAAACGAGAAGGAGAAATAAACCCACAATCAGATTAGCAACATAAAATATTACTTTTTTCAACAACAAAGACCAAGAGATAATAGGAGAACTGATTAATAAAAACATAGACATTTGTGCAATCCAAGAAACCAAGAAGAAAGGTAAAGGTCAAAGAGAATATAACCAATATTTCCTAGCATACAGTGGAGTGAAGAAAGAAGAATGAGCAAGAGCAGGCGTAGGTATACTTGTCCATAAAAAATTTAAAGACAACAGAAATAACCGCTATTATATCTCTGAACGAATAATACATAGGAACATCACAATGGACTACCAAAAATTAAATGTCATATGGATGGAAATGAAGTAGTTCCAGGAGTCAAACAAAGATTTAATGAAAACCATGTCAACGCAAAATTAGAACTAATGGCTAATCTCTGTGCTTTTAACAAACTGAGAATCAATAATACATTTTTAGACCATAAGTTCCAGTATAAATATATATTTTAAAACTCCAGGGGGCATAAATCTATGATTGATTTTATAGTCACTAATAGAAAAATCCACCCAAAGCAAATTCTAGATATCCTAACTTTAAACTTAGCAGAGGCAGGGAGTGAACAAACTAGTACAATTAAAGATAAGAATAAAAATAACACAAAAACAAAATTTTCTACGGGAAATCACCGAGGAAAAATTCAATGTAGAATCACTATGGAACGACTCTACAACAGAAATGTACCAAAGGATACGCAGAAGATACAGCTGAAGCAAATAGACTGCATCGAAGATATAACCGCAAGCTTTAAGAAAATAATATAACATTGAAGAAGCAGCAATACAAGCACTAGGAAAACACAAAGTCATACTGAACAAAAGAAACAACAATACACCATGATTCAGAAAAGAAATAAAAGATAAATGTAAAGAGACACGAGAGGCCTATACGAAGCACAAAACATCAAATACCCCAAAATCCCAAGACACCTATAGAAGAATACGAAATGCAACAAAGCAGTTGGTAAGAAGAACAAAAAATGAACACTGGGAACAGTTTACAAAAAGGATGGAAAGCGACTTCTACGATACACAAAAATAAATATGGAGATTCATAAGAAACCAACGAAAAGAAATGGCAGAATTAAATAAATACAATAACATACCAGAAAACGAATGGGAATGATACCTGACGGAACTGTTAAAAGCAAAGGAAAAGAATAATCAACACAATAACGTACCTGAATTAAGACACGAAATAGAAATCAGTTTTCAGGAAGTAGAAATAGCCATAAATTCACTTAAAAATAGAAAGTCACCAGGACAAGACGAAATAACCAACGAGCTTCTAAAATACGCAGGAGAAAGTATAACCTTAGGGATGACAAAACATATACAAAATGCCAGACGCATGGAGAAACAGTATAATGATACCAATGTTCAACAAAGGAAATAAAGAAGACCCCAACAATTAAACTCATTTTAGCCTATGAAGGCCGATATGTAATTAAGATATGATCGGTGGGCCTCAAACAGTGGGGCGTTAATATTTAATTTAGATCGTTTGAGAAATAAAAATATTTAATTTCCTGTAGTTTATGTTCAGTAATAATATTGGATTTTACTGTATCAAAGGCAAATAAAATGAATATAATATGTATATACACGTCGGTTAAAAGAAGTGGGACGGAATATTTCGAATAATTGAAATTATTTGTCGACATCAAATGTTCATCAAGGTCTCTATAAGTCTCTATTTTGCGTAGAGTAAAAATTATACGAATGGTTTTGCATGCAGTTAAATTGGAAAATACTTGCCAAGTTGCTGGTGTGTCCAAATTTGAATAAAATACACCCAAGACTTTACTTTCAGCAAATACTGTATTAAATATAACCTTGAAACAAATTGGCACTAAATCACTTCCGAGTTTTCAGCAAAACAAAATGTTTAAGCACGTGTAGTCCAATAATTAATATCAAAGCTATTGAGAGTGTGCAGTCCAGTAATTAGACCAAAGGTACTTTATCATTTAACTAAAACACACCACAAGAAACAGCAAAAGATGGTGCGACAATTTAAATAATTTAGGAGGCTAATATTGAAAAAGAAACAGGCTTTAAAGCCTACATACAAGAAGGAAGAAGAAGAAGAAGAAGAAATTACTCTAAAGTAAAATTAAAATTTTTACTATAGAGTATAATTTTAAGGTTATAATTTTATTGTAGACTAAAATTTTAACGTTAAATTTTTACTCTGTGTGTTAAAATTTTACTCCTATTTAAAATATAACCGTTTCAACAGTTTCAAAAAATTTATTATTATAATTCCGAGTAAATATTCATATCAATGGTGCTCACGCCATCTACCCGCCGAGTGCATTTAAATTACCTCAAGGACCCTACTGTAGTTTCTAATATCTCTGACCTTCACCTCAAACTCAGAGCATCGTAAATTCAGCGAAATTCATCTCCCTCCTTCTTTTTCTCTTAGTACCCCCAACATACAGGACGAAAATTTTGTTTGAGTAGTCTCTTGACGAGATAAGCCAAAAAATTCCTTTTCTTTTATATACTTTCACATAAATATTTATTTTAGACCCTTACCGGGAGCCTTGATAGTTTGTAGAACTATGTTTATTGGCCCGAGGTTATCTAAAGAGCTATTGATTTCGTATGTGTTCTAAAACCATCAATTTGCTTGAAGAATATCTCGTTTGCTTAGCCGCACAATCCTATATATTTTTATGGTGTATAGTATGTTCCTGCTTAATAGATCTAAGGTTTCTGTCAACCGAGTACACAAAGGGGAAAAATATATCCTTTCTGCACGCCACACCAGCATTTCAATAATTCAGGTTGTATCTATTTTATATTTTTTTATTGAACAGCTAAGAATATGTTTGAACTAAATGTGAACGAATTTTGAAATTTGGGATAAAGTAGAATTTTATTTTCATATATTTCTCATTCATAATCTAGTGCCATGGCATAAAATGTTTGTTTTCTTAAGATATGATTTTAATTTTAGTTTCACATAAGCACTTCGCATATGTAATTGAACACTGTAAATACAAATTCTTAATTTCTTTTCTGGGACGACGTAAGTTTTTAACGTAAAATCTTTCAATTACTTTTTGTTCGTTACAAAATAATAAAAGGATAGTTTGTTTTAAAATTTTCATTTCATTCCTTTGAGCTCGCTTACTTACAAGGATAAACTAAAGGAATGGCGCCCATTTTATTTTAATTTTAAAAATAATACAATCAGCTTCTATACGATTTTTAAGAGAATCGCATCCAAACTCTCCGACACGAACAGAAAGGCCTAGATTGTTAGTAAACCTAAGTACTAAATAATTTGCACAGGTTAAAAACAAAATTATAAAAAATCAAGTTATACTTCCAAGCTCTGTATGGAATGCAGCAATATTTTTATATACCGTATTGTAAGCATAGAATGATTCAAACAAGACATCATCAATTAGTCTATATTTGTCCACTACTGAAGTAGGCCTCCCGTAAAATTTTCCACCTATTTCTATTTTGAGCTTATTGCATCCAGTTTTTGGTGATGCGCTTGATATCATCCGTCCATCTAGTCGGTGGTCGTCCTCTGCTTCGATATGCATCTTGCCTTGGTCGTCATTCCAGAATTTTTCTGGTCCATCTATCATCCGTTAATCTGGCAACATGTCCGGCCATGGCTATTTTTTCAACGCATCCTGTTCTTCTTATTTATAGGTTTGGTACTTTATCTCTGATGGTATTACCTAATATTGATCTTTCCATAGCGCGTTGTGTAACTCTTATTTTATCTATTGTTCTTTTTGCCAGAGTCAGTGTTTCTGCACCATATGTAAGAACCGGTAAAACGCACTGGGTAAAAACCTTTATTTTTAAACAAACTGGGATACTAGACTTAAAAATGTTATTCAATCTACCAAAGGCAACCCATGTGAGACCTATCCTTCTTTGTATTTTAGTTGTCTGATTATCTCCGCCTAAGCGAATCTCATGCCAGATATTTGTAAGCTATTACTTGGTCGATGCTATGGCTTTCAATCAGAATTTTACCGCTGACTACAAGGTTGGTCGTAAATTTTGTCTTTGAGGTGTTAATTTTAAGACCAATTGTTTTTGGCACTTTATAGAGCGCGTGCAGCATTTTTGTAGCTTTATCAACTCTATCAGATATTAAAACGATGTCATCGGCAAATCTTGGGTAGTTCAGATCTTCCCCATTTATATTAATTCCCATATTATCCTCTAGTTCCATTTGCTTGAACATATATTCAAGAACAGCTGTAAATAATTTAGGGGAGATAATATCACCCTGTCTGATTCCACGTTCTATTCGAAATTCTTTTAATTAAGGCGATATATCGGTAGTCAATGCGGCAGTCAGCCAATGCTCGAAGCATTTTATAATGATCTATAGTATCGAACGCCTTTTCATAATCTACGAATATAAGAAAGATAGGCTTGTTATACTCTGTACACTTTTCTATTAGCGTTTTTATAACTTGTAGATGATCATTTGTTCCGTATCTGGAGCGGAATCCAGCCTGTTCATAAAGTTGGTAACTATCCAGTTTGTTCACAAGCCGTTTTGTTATTATCTTTATGAATAGTTTGTATGTATGGGAGAACAAACTATTCGGCTGTAGTTCTTTAGGTCTAAAATGTCACCTTTTTTGTGCATTATGGTTATTGCATTATGCCACTGAGAGGGGGTTACGCCTCTTGTCAAACAAGCATTTAACATCAAACAAGACAAGCATAATAAAATATCTTCTGTCATATACCATATTTAGATGATTTTAAGTCTCAGTCATAAGAAAGATAGGTGGAGGTGCCGTAAGGCACTAAAAAATCGTGCTTTAATTATTCCACAATTGGTCATTTTCACACAAATCAGGGGATGTAAAGCAGATAAAGGATTTCATGTTCGGAGGATCGGTCGTAGAAACGGATTTGTTTGGGAATGTGCAAGGGTTGTGTTTGTTTTATATTTTTAGGTGTGACTTGACTGTGTGGGTGGGCATTTTTGTTACAGTTGGGCCATCTTAAAACATTTAATTTAAACATTTAAGGCCATGCAGTAAACCTGAGTTGTTGCCCACAGAATGGACAAATAATTGATTTTTCAGTACATTCGTAGCTGAGATATCCGCTTCTGCAGTATCTTGAATAGTATTTTAGATGAATCGGAACGAAATTGTTTGATCGTGGGATCTCAAAATTCATATTACAAGTCGATATTTTTTATTCATGTTCTCGAACGTGTGTGCCAGTTATGTATTATCACAAGGATATTTCCTTTACATCCTCCAATATTTAATTTTTAATATTTATTTATTTTAAAATCTTCTGCTACTTGATAGTTTGAATAGAGTCATTTTCCATTACTTTCTATGCTTCTCCCTCCTATGACAAACGTTTTCATGTCGATCCTACAACACCTTTAAGTCATCGCTTCGTCACATTTGAAGTCTTCTTTAAGATTGTTTCATTCCATAAGGTCTTAAACTCATTACTTCACTGTTCCATCTACCATTCTCTAGCCGTTCGTTATGTCCAGCCTACTTCTATTTCAATAAAGCTGCTTGTTCAATAACATCTTTGATAAATTACTTAGATGTTCCTGAAGTGAAGTACCCAGCATTTGTCGTTCCATGGCTCTTTGAGTTTTCCTTAATTTTTCCACATTTTGAATACCTATTTCTTGATGTTAAAATAAAATTATCCAATATATTACCTTTGGTATTCGATGTCCACATAAATAGGTATCTCTTAAAGCTCGATGTGGTACTGTAAAAGCTCTGCCTCCAAACATTCTCAGTGACTCCAGCACAACGCATTCTAGATACGGCATCCTATAAATAACACAAATTTTTAAGTTTTTATATAAAAAATTATACATAAAAATAAGTAGCTTTAAACGTTTTTGTATAATAATACAAGCTCATCTGAACTTATTTTTACTACCGCGTTAAAATTAAATACTATGTCTACAAAATTAACAGAAAAAACATAAAAATACACAAACACATTATGTATGATTAAGAATTAATTTAATTCTTTCTGATAAACAATGTTTTTCTGGTTTTGCGCTGCTTACATTATGTATAGGGAAGATCCGTGTACCTTGGGACACCTGTACATTCCTTGTACCTAGGGACACCGATAGATTTACTTCAAATTTGTTGTGGCCCTATAAGTGCCACAAGCAAAGCTTTTGTGCCTTTTGTGTTACACATCTCGATCGTACCCGAAAAAGTCAGTCGTTTTGAATGTTATAGTCAATGGTTGCGAATTGGCAAAATTTAGCTGCTGTTTTGTTTTCTTTATCTATTTTTATTGGTGTTTCGAGTGCAAAATTTCGAGGTTAGAGATTTTATATTATGTATAATTGCTTGTCAGCTAAGGTGTATTTATTTATTTTGCTGTTTTTTGATGGATTACGCAATCAGTTTACATAACCTCACTTCATTAATAAAACAAAATAATTTTGTACCTTGGGACCATTATAATACAAAATAGACTGACTGCTGCAATACAGTGGCGTTCCCCTAGTGCGACAGAGATAACTGACGCAAAGCAGTCCTTGCATCTCTATCTAATCGGACGGATTTATCGATCACGTGGCCTTCCTATTGGTCATTTGGGTCACGTGGTCGATAAACCTGGCAAATTAGAAAGAGATGCAAGATTTTCTTTGCGTCAGTTTTGTCTGTCGAATCGGGGAAACATGCTGGTATTGCAAGGATCAGTCTATCTTGTATTATATGGCTATGCTTGGGATACTCATATTTTGTATCTTAAGACTGTCTCAAGGTACAAGGCTATAATATTGCTTAAAAGCATCAAAATTTCAATATGACCTTTGCAAAGTTAAATTTCTGAAGTTAACTACAAGAAAAGACTACTCAAGTTCATGGGACACAAATAAAGTAGCTGTATAGACGTTTTATGACTATTTTATCAAACGACATAAAAATGTAGGCCTGCGAAAACTAGAAGCCACAAGTTTGGTTGGTGTTTAAGCTTTTAACTAGGCTAACATTTTTTCAACAATACAGGACTTGCTGCTTAAACACAATCTCCCTTCTGGAAATATACACAATGTAGAGGACTTTGCGAAAGTTTTATCCACAAAAGAGGCAAAATAAGCGAGCAACGGGACATCAGCCGAAAGAGGATATCAACGTCACTATTATTGATTGTCAATGTGCTGGGAAGTTCGGTGCCTTCTTGTATGATATATCCAAGAATGTATTTAAGTCCCACATACTTAATAGCGCACTCTCAGAAACACTGGGTCTTGCTACTCTCATTGGGTGGTTCAACGCTGAAAAGCTTGAAGATTTTTTAAACTATTTCATAAAACATGTCCGACCCAATGTGGAAAACAAGGTGTTCCTAATTATGGACAATCACGAGAGTCAATTGTCTATTAAAATTTTTAATTCGCCAGTTCATTGTCATGGCCATTGCGGTGTCATCTGCAAAAGTAGCAACTTCTGTGCTACTGTTGGTTGGGCGGTTTGCAATGAATATTAGGAAGACAATAAGTCGCATTACGCTTCCTTGTGGAACAACTGCTTTGATAGAATGGAGCTGAGTGCATTTATCGTGCTGTTTTACCACGAAGTGTCAATCTGATTTATATATATATATATATATATATATATATATATATATATATATATCCTATTTAGGATTTTAGGAGCAGAAAGAAAGGATATGGTAATTGTTTCTTAATCTTATAAAGTAGGCCTTCATACAAAACTTTATCGAAGGCTTGACTGGCGTCTGAGGAGGCTTAAGGAGAGGCTTAAAGAGGAGGAATAAGTTAAGTTTTTTAAAATTGGAAGCAATCTGATCAATAGAAGCTTTTAGAATACCTTTGATATAATCGGTATCGAACTTATAGGTCTACAGAATTTTAGGTCTTGTGTTTTTCGTCTATAGCAGTCTATAAGCAGGGCTTCTAAGACGTTATGAACCTCGCTATAATTGTCGTTGGGATCTGGTTCATTTAGTTCAAAAACTTTGACTAGATGTGAAGAGTCTGTATAAATCACCTGATAATAGAATTCGTGTCAGGTGACGAAAATCACGTGACACAAATAAAGATCATGGTTCGGTTCAGTGTAAAATACCTGTTCGTACCTGTAAAATCTTTGCCATTGCGACAGTTTTGTCGTTATGTCACTGATTTACATGTTTCAAGGTAATTTCAAGCAGTTCGTCCACCCTCTAATAAATTTGAATCTATTTTAGATGAACCCAACGTTAAGGCTACTTGATTTTGTGATTTGATCATCGGTAATAACTGTAAAATTAGGAATGTTTTTTCTATTCCTTCCGGAACATCAGGGAAGTAAATTTCACCATCTATTATCATCCATAGTGTCACGTGATATCTCGTATATTGCTGAATGTTTATTAATAACGAATATACTGTGTAGTGCCCTTTTGGTAGTCGACTTGTTTTTTCTCTCTTACTATATTCTTCAAATCTTCTCCTTTTATTTGCTACGCTACATGTTAGGATTTGATCACTTCTTTATTTTGTGCTCAGCCAGGGTGCTTCTGTAAGTCAATAAACCAAAATTGGTTTTATAATAGATGTGTTTTTATTCATAGTGCCCTATCATGCCTCGTATGTTAATTAATATTGAAGATACTGTGTACTGCCCTTTTAGTAGTCTCCTTGCATGTTTTTTCTATCTTAATATATTTTGTATATCCGCTCTTTTCATTTAACATATCATATATCCAATAGAGGCCTTTCGATGTTGAAAGATCGCGTGAGAACTGAGGAGATACGCTGGCGACCTGGTGTAGACGATATTATATTGCGAATCAATAAAAAAAAGTGGAGGTGGGCTGGACATGTTGCTAGAATGAAAGACGGAAGATGGACGAAGAGATTATTGGAGTGGAGATAGACAGCTAGAGATAGAGAGACTTGGAAACGTTTGGAGGAGGCCTATATCCAACAATGAATGTGAAAATGGGCTGGATGATGAATGATGATGATGATGATTATCCAATCGAACCAATAGCAACGGAGATATAATGTAATGCCCATTTGACAATATCGCCATGTGTGTTTTTTCTGCCTCAAGATATTCGATACTGCTTGTCCTTTCCAATAATGTAGCATACGTCACGATCCCACGAACTATTCTACCTCCACCACAGAACACTCAAAAATACTTGAATCATCAATTTGTATAATGCATTATAAAGCAACCGTATCGTTTCAAGCACAAAATATGATTAAAATGTCAGTTGGTAGTTCAGATTTCTTTCCTAGGTGGCGCTAGGAATTATCGTACCGGATAAACAGTGTGAGTTGTCGTTCTAGCCTCTTAGAACTCCTAGAACTCATAGAAGCTACAAAAGCTCTGTATAAAGAAAATAAAGTGTCCATTAAAGTGGAAACAAAACAAGAACAAGAAGGAACAAAAGGGCTCAACAAGGAGTATCCATTATGATATACCGCCGCTTCAGAAAATACATCACATCATGGGAAGGCATCAACGAAAGAATGATAAAAATGAATATATGTTTAAAATGATACAGACTGACCATTTTGTGAATATATGCAATCAATGACGATGCTACTGTAAATGTGAAAGATAATTTTTTCGAACAACTTAATGAAGAACTCACAAAGGTGGGTAACACAAGAGAAATAATAATGTTGGGAGACCTCAACAGCAGAGTCGGAAAAAAGAACAACGATAAAGTAGTAGGTAGATATGGAGAAGATAATAAGAACAATAACGGAGAAAGGTTAATAGATATATGCGATCAGAATGGACTACGAATCATGAATGGATATTTCCAACATAGAAACATTCATAAATATACGTGGACTCAGGAAACCCGAAACTTAAAATCAGTTGTAGACTATGTCATCCTCGTCGACTAAAAATAACAGACGTAAGAGCATGTAGAAGACCCACTTCCCGCAGTGACCACTACCTCCTACGTTTAGATTTTTCATTTTCATATAAAAGAGAATAGAAAACTCCGCATAATAACCATACAAAGGGGCAAGTGCAAGAAGTACGATATAATTTGAAAAGTTTACACCAAGAAAGTGTTAGAAACCTATATAAACGTAGACTGGAACAAAACTAATCGAAATGGAAGATAATACCAGGAATGTTAATCAGTTATGCAAAACTATCCAATAATGTATACATGTCGCTGCCCTAGAAGCACTAGGGCGATATGAGAAGATCGGACAACAAAAACCATATTGGTGGGATCAGTATATTTCGCAGGAAATAACACAGAAAAGAAAATGGTATCAAAATATCTGAACCCAAGAAATGTGGAAGACAGAATCGAATAAAAAAGGATGCAAGCGATGTGGTCAGAAGAAAAATATGCCAAAAGAAATATGAATCCTGGGAAAAAAGTGCACCATGCTAAATACATACATTGGTGGAAGCCAAAGCTCAGAACGCTGGAAAGTGTTAAAAAATTTAAGAAACAACAGAAAAAGAGATATTATCTAGTCCATATCACCGCAAACTTGGGAAGAATACTTCAAAGATTTACTAACAGAGACAAGACAAGGCGTCAGGCTGATAGGATCAACAATTAGAATAAATGAAAGAGAAGTCGAAACCGTAATTAGACATCTAAAGAATGGCAAATCATCTGGCCCAGGAAATGTAGTTCCAGAAAGAATCGCATATGAGCACCATCCATAAAATGGAGATAAATCGAAACCTGAAAACTATAGATGAATTGCAGTTACTAGTAGTATTAGCAGAATATATGGTAAAATAATAAAAAATCGAATGAAAGAAGAATACCAAGATATGGAAGAGAAGAACAGGCTGGTCTTCGTACAGGTCGATACACAATAGACCATGTCTTCTCTTTTACTCAGATAATTGAACAGAACGTTTCTCGTGGCCAAGAAGTCCACCTGACGTTCGTAGACCTTAGGAAAGCATATGCTAGTATCCCGCTTGATATAAATTATGGGAGGCACTGGGGAAAACAAATATAAATATAGAATTGATTGAAGCGGTAAAAACGTTGTACTACCAACAAACAACCAGAATTAAAACAGGAAATCTGATAACACTGGCATTTAAAGTGAATAAAGGACTAAGACAAGGGTGCTGTATATCCCCAACATGATTCAAAATATACCTCGAAGCAGCACTCGACAAATGGAAGAAAAAATGTACGAATATGAGCATACCACTAATGGACTTAACTTTGTACATTCTGTGCTTTGCGGATGACCAGGTCATCATCGCACAGGACTTTAAAGACCTTAGTTACATGATGCGAAAACTATTAGAAGAGTTTACAGAGGGGGTTTGGAAGTGAATATGAAAAAAACTGAGTACATGAGTACTGAAGGAGATCAACATAACCTTGTCTTAGAGGAAAATCAAGAGATCAAACTATGTGACGACTACAAATACCTAGAAGTGAAGATCACTCAGGACGGAAAATTAGATGCAGCCATTAAACAACGAAATACACAGGGAAGGAAAGACATAGCCTTACTGAACAGCGTACTGTGGGATAAAAACATCTCTAAGGAAAATAAAAGAAGAATATACAACACCATAATAAAAAGTATAACAATATATGGATGCGAAGTGTGGCCCCCAAAAGACAGAACAGAGAAACTGCTTAGAGCAACAGAAATGGACTTCTGGTGCCGCTTGGCGGGAATCTCTAGACACGACAGAATAACAAATGAGAGAGTCCGAGAAATCATGGGGGTTACACATAATATTTTTTGGAACTGGAGGACGATCTATGGAACGATAGAATGAGATGGAGATTGGAAATCGGAAGACGTCGAAGAACGAAGACATTATATATATGTTAAGGAGATTTTAACAATATAAAAAAATATACAGGGTGTTTCATTCAAAATAAAGCTTTTGGAAAAGGCTAGGCTTGCTTGGGTCATCCTGAACATCTAAATTTATGTTTAAAACGCGCCTATTAAACTATATCAATGTCGTTTTATTCCAGAAGTGATAATAGCTTAATAATCTCAACAAAGTTAGGCGATAATATTTTGTTTATCTACTTTTGATAATAGTTTATATAATCGTTAATGTAAAAATGAATGGTTACTTCATTAATCAATTATCTTGCCTTGGTCGATCAGCTAGACATGGCGTTCTCCATTTACCAATTACACAATCTATTTCTGCTTGAGCTTTTTTTTGAACTTCTGGATACAGTATTAAATATAGTACTGCAAAACTCAGTGTATTACTTGTAGTTTCGGAACCAGCCATAAACATATCCATGCACGTTGCTACAAGTTGGTCTTCAGAAAAACTTTCCCCTACTGATTCTAAAAATCAAAATCAAATGTTATTTATATTATTTATACTTTTTAGAAAGGTACATAAAAGGTTTAAAAAAGTTGTTTTGTATTTGAAGTTATTTTTGTACTCTAAAACAACAAAAACATTAACTGAAAATAACCCACAAGAACAAGTCGATAAAACGATGCACTAGTGCAAATTTACAGTAGTCCGTAGAAGTTCGTAAAATAACTCTTTTTCTACATATACAGGGGGTTGTGACAATTTTTAGAAATGAGGTGATATCTTTGACATAAACAAACTTATAATTATGAAATTGTGTAATAAGAAATGAAGTAGTGCATTATTTAAGATATCCTTCAAGTTTGTTTAATGGCGCAATTTCCTCTAGGATATGTAATATATACATCAAAATAATATAGGGGACAACTATATTAATAGCTTTAATCAATGTTGGCTGTAACTACAAAAATAATTTTTTTTTTGTTTTTTTGTTGCTTGTGTTTTGTCGATTATTGTAATAATTTGGGCGGTAATGCTGATAAGAATGGCTATAAAAATTTAACAAAATTTCTATATACGTTTTTGGCTATAAGATAAAAAGTAATATTTCTTTATTGATACTTGATTTTCGATGTCTACGTAGATTTTTATTTAGTTTTGCAATTGCTAATAATGGAGAGACATCATGAGAGAAATGTCATTCTTTGTTTGTGGTTAATTTGTGAAGAAACTGGTGATGTTGCTGAACATCTTACAGGCCGTACAAGGATAACCAACTAAAACGAAGACCGTTTTATTAGGTTGCAGGCTTTGCGGGATCGCAATGTAACTGCATCACAATTACAAATGAGGCTGCAAGGGACGTATCAGATGTTGTATCAGTTGTTGCCTGAAGTAGGGTTAAATACTCGATGACCGGTTCTGTGTTATCCAGAGAAAATCGCGCTCATCGACTTCAGTGGAGACAAGAACACGCCAATTGGGTTAGATGTGAGTGAGCCTCTACTTTATTCACAGATGAGTCTCGATTTTTATTTACAACAGATACAAGATGAACAATATTTTGGAGATGACCTTGCAATGCTGAACGATTTGTCACCGTGTAGGAGGGTCATAGACAACAAGGCAGTAGTATAATGGTATGAGGTGGCATCACTCTTAGTGGAATAACCAATCTCGTTTGTCTGGAACGCTTTCTAAATGCAAGAGACTACCGTGGTATTATTTTTGAACCCTTTCCACAACAAGTTGGTCCCAAATTTTAATTAATACAGGACCGTGCGCGTTAGCGTACTACCAGAGTCGTGCAAACATTCTTCGAGGATAATGAAATTGAGGATTTACCAGGGCCTGCACTATCACCAGACTTAAGTCCAGTTGAGCATTTTACAACAAAATATTGGGTTCAATACTAGACAGCAACTGTTTGAGGACCTCCCAATGGAGTGAAATAATCATGAGTTGGCCTTATACAAATATAAGACCGTAATCAACAACCGTGGAGGTCATGTGCTATAGTAACTTAACATAAAGACTACTTTGTTGGGAGTTGAGGGACAACAAATTAGTTATTTTATTTTTTTTGATACCATTTTTTGGCTTATGGAGTTCACTTTTAATTTTTGAAGAGCAATTGCGATAATTCCAAGAAAAAATGTATATTTTTTATTTGAGACGCTTGTTTATAACTTTCTAATACAAATACTTATTTTAAATAAATTATTTGAAATCCTTTTGTAATGTCACATTTTGTTTTTGTTCCCTAGATTATTTTGGTTTTTGTATATCACAGAAAAGCTTACTTCTTCCACTTTTGAAAAACGCTAGTTTTTGAAATACTAGTAAATAAATAATTAAATAATTCAAGGAAATTTGTTCAAACTAATTTTAATAAAATGTAGTGAGATACATAAAACTAAACAATTAGAGTAAATTTCAATTCCTTTATTAAAATAAATGCTAAAATACTTTAACTTATTCTGACTATTATACTCCAGTCACACAGTGAAAAAAATATATTATAAATTGTATTCTCCATTTTAAAAATGTCTAAAAAATTGTTCTCGTTTTCAAAATAACTTAAAAACTATAATACTTAAGTATTAGTCAAAATTCCGTTCCCCCTCGTATCTTTTAAATGGTTATTGTTATATAATAGTGAAATTTTCAGGGATGTAATAAATAGACGTAGTCTATTAGTCATAAGAATTATTATATAATTCATAGTCATTAGTATAGTTATATAAGTCATAAGTATTATAACTAGTCATAAGAAGTTACATCACTAGTGACAGATGACGTTACAGCGCCACTGTGATAGATAATTTTAAATGAGACCTTATGGCAAGTGATACCCTCTTTGAATAGGCATTAAAAATACCTATTCAGTCATAATAAGTTTGATTGAGTATAAGCTAATTTAGATAAATAATTGATACTAAAATTGTAGCTTCTCATTTAATTCATTAATATTTAACAACCAGTTATAGTATGTGTTCAAAATGTGCTCCATCTACTTCCTAACAGTAATGCATCCCGTTTCTAAACTCTTGCTGTACTCGGTCATATGTGTCGGAGGAAATTGCCCTACATTCTTCTTAAGTAAATTTTAGATTTCAAGTATCCTCCCATCTACCACGATATTTCTCATTTAGGTAATGTCTTACTGCACCATCATAGTGTTTTTCTACTCTCTTACTAGTAAATTGTATATTACCTACTATTTGGATGCTAAGTAAATGCATCATAACAGATACTGACACGTAATGACTAGCACGTAATAAAAAAAATTACGCTTCAGTTTTATAAAAATGTGTAATATCACATAAGCCTCGTAAGTCAGTTGGTCGAGTTACCATGGAAACGAATTAATAGACGGTATTTTGACAGATTAAAAATTATTAATCTGTCAGTGTAAATATAGTGGTAATTTAATTTTTATTTTTAAAAACGAAAATAATCGTAGAAAAAGTATAGTACACAACTTGAGTTGTAAGCTTATTACATGCTTGTAAAATTACTGCGGTGGCCGCTACGCGGCTCGCGCGCAACTTTTTTACTCGCATGTAATAAGCTTCTTACAACTCTCGTTATGTAATATACTATTAGGAGCACCATCTTGTTGAAACGTTATTTTCAAGTTGCCGAATTAATCTGCATTATCCTCCAGAATTTAAGGATTAACGGTTCAATTAAATTTTGGAACATCTCCATTACACTTCACCGGTTAAGTCAGCATTGAGAAAAACAGGCTCAACTATGTAGTTTCCCAAAATACGTGACCAAACATTAATTTTTTTTAGAAATTGAGTATGTGTTTCACAAATGACGTAAGCATTTCTGTCACTACAATACCTCACATTGTGTGTTAACATTTCCATTAAAAGAAAAAGTACTTTCGTCACTAAAACAAATTGTTTTTAGTTGAAAACGTCAAATGTCAACTTTTTGACAAATAATCAGAGGCGGAGGTTTTAATATTTATTTATAATATTATTAATATAATATTTATACAATTTGTGACTAAGACAAGCGATGACACAATCGATTGTGTGAGCCAGAGGTCCGGACGAAATACACGTTGTACTTATTAAGGTGATGAGTGAAGTGAGCACAAAGGAGCTAACTGAACTGTATAACGCCATATACGATTCAGGTAATATCCCTGAGGAATGGCTAGTGTCAACATTTGTAACACTACCAAAAAACGATCTGCGAAAACGTGCGAAGATTTCCGAACTATTAGAAAATGTCGGTGAAATGCAATTTGGATTTCGCAATTCCATGGGTACGCAATATTATTGACTACGCAAATGCATTTGACTCTTGTCAGCACCAAAAGAGGATCGCCGTCCTACAAAGAGTAAGATTGGGTGATCAGGATATTCGGATCATCATTAACTTATACTGAAATCAGCGAGTTCAAGTCAAGGTCAAAGACCAGGTGCCCGAGAAGTAAGGCAAGGCTGTGTGCTCTCACCGAATCTTTTCAATATATACTCTGAGGAAATTTTTACTGACGCCCTCATTAACCTAGAGATGGAAATCCGAGCGAACGGTGAATACATCAATAATATCCGCTACGCCGATGACAATGTGTGACACTGGCAACTAGTCTAAATGATACAAGCCTTACTAGACCGAGTGAGAAATGTGAGCGTAACATACGGACTAGACCTTAATATTAAGAAAACTACATTCATGGCTGTCAGCCGTGCAAATATAGATCCCGGGGCACTAATGGCAGGTAGCGAAGAGATCCAGAGAGTCGACAGATTCACTTACCTTGGAACTATCCTCAGCTCACAATGGGACTACGCGCAAGAGATTAGATCTAGAATTGAAATGGCAGGGTCTCATTTATCAAGTTGAGATCCTTGCTATGCTGTAGTGATCTCATTTTGGGAAACAAGATGCGGATAGTGAGGTGCTACATTCTTCCAGTGTTACTATATGGAGTTGAAGTCTGGACACTGACGCAAGCCACAGAAAAGCGGATTGAAGCCTTCGAGATATTGATCTACAGGAATATACTAAAAATATCGTATGTGGATCATATCACCAACTTTGGTGGTGTTACAGGTCCTACAGCGTATGAGAAAAGAAAAGGAAGTGCTTAATTTAGTGAAACATCGTAAGCTTGAGTACCTCGGGAATGTGATACAGAACGAAGAAAAATATCGAATTCTGCAACTCGTTATGCAGGGTAAAGTATTTGGCAGTATATCTCGTGGTTAAAAAACCTCCCACAATGGTTTGAGATGACCTCCGCGGAGCTGTTTCGCAGAGCAGTCAATAAAATCATGATAGCCTTGATGATCGCCAACATCCGGACCGGCTAAGACACTGAAGAAGAAGAAGTCTTAAATCATACAAACAAGTTATATTTATAAACAAGCTAATTTATAAACTGACATTTAAAATCGCCGGTATATTCAAGGGTTGTTTCTGAGAGAACAGTTCATTCTACGCAAAAACTGCTAATGAACATAGTTGTTCAAAATTATCTCAGGTACATTTTTGATTAAAATATTTTTGTCTACGGCGTATAAATTGTTTGTTAACAATGTTTCCCTCCCCCCATAGGAGGAGAATTTTATGTGGAAGTCCGGAAATAGAAGTAAATATTTTGCATCTTGTATTAAACACAGAAAAGTAGTCAAAAAAATTATATTTTTTTCTTTTCTAATGCTAATTTTATTTTTTACGCATATAAATATATAATATTGTTTTAAAAATTGTTGTTTTACTCAATTATAATTAACATGCTTCTCTTTTTAAAATTTATGTTGCACACACTCTCTAAGCAAGGGCCGGTGATAACCGACCTGCAAGGGATGCACTGCATGCGGGCGCCTCTTTTTGGAGGGCTCTAAAATCAGCTTTTTTTGTCTGTTAGTGTTATACAAAATAGAAAAATTAATTTTTTGAATTTGATTTCAATTGCATTCATAATACGCCAATCAGTGTTTGTTATTTTTACATCCTGTACACGTAAAATATAAAAAATATATACAATGCATACAATTCTTACGTTGTAGTAATAGACTTTATTGGTAAATATATTATGTTTAAAAAAACACTTTTTTGTTTTGCACTTTTCTGAAAAGATTTGTAGTTTTTTTCAAATTACTTCGGTATTGTTTAAAGGTTTTGTGTCAACAACTAGTAGCGTCGATGCATTATTTGTAGTAAAATAAACATTTTACATAAATGTAACAATAAAACACTGAAAACTTTGTTTTCAAACTTCCACAAAATTTATTTTAACTATTATCACTACAGCTGTTTCGGCTGATTGCCTTTCTCAAGTGATCTATTTTTGTCATGCGTTTACAATTTATAGTCTCTAATGAAATAGGTTGAGGAGGGGAGAACTGTTTGTCTCAAGTTGGTCATTCAGAATTATCTCTGTGTTTTTTAATTTGTTGATTTCCATAGATTCTAACAAAGATAGCCTTTATTTTGAATGTGAAGTATTTTAAATGTGTCATTAAAAGAATGATTATGATCTAGAAGGTGAAGTGCATATGTCGAATCTGTTTTTCTATTATTGAAAGCCCTTTTATGTTCTGTTATTCGTTTATTAAAGTTTCTACCAGTTTGACCGATGTAAGTTTTTGGGCAGTCGCCACATTGAAGTTTGTACACACCACTATTTAAGTGTTTTTTATTTTGGCTCTTGTTATTTTTAATATATTTGCCTGGTTATTTGTTCGGAAAGCTGGTGTTATTTCTTTCTTTTTTAAGTGTTTGGCTATTTTTGTTGTTATTTTGCCTGTATATGTAATCGAGCAGAAGGTATTGGTTTTTTTTCTGGTGGTGGAAATACTAATTTCAGGGCTTTCTTGTGTAGTTTTTGATTTAACATTTTGTTAATTGTTTGTTCGTTGTATCCGTTGTTTACTGCTATTTGTTAATTATATTTAATTCTGTCTCAAAGTTGTATTTTGACATCAAATGTATTTTGATATGTGTGAAATGTAGTGATAATAGTTAAAATAAATTTTGTGGAAGTTTGAAAACAAAGTTTTCAGTGTTTTATTGTTACATAAAATGAATTTCCATCAAGTAACGGTCGAATCCATAAATTATTTTACATAAAATTTTTATCAGAAGCTTAATAATTTGTCAGCTTACAAGGAAGAGGAAAAGTAATCCTAATTGTTTTTAAATTTTTTTTTAATTATAAAATATTGTATAATACTTACTTCCATCTTCTGACTTCAGAACATTTAAATAAACATCCATAACATCTCGCGGAGAGTGGGGATTATGAGTATTTTTATGGTATGCAATTTCTTTTCGAATAAAATCCCAAATCAATTTATGATTCTTCACATACACATTATACCCAGACTTTTCAGGTGCTATATACTTAAGAATTGGAAAGTGACTAAAAGTAGCACCCACCATAGATACAGCTTGAAATAATTCGTTTAAAATCGACTGAAGTTCCCTCATTTTTGCATCTTCTGCCATATATCTTACTCCCGCCAGCATTTTCCATAAACAATTTAAAATGTGTAAATTAAACATGTTATGAACATTAAATACGACGGAATCGTTTTGGTTTATGGTTCTTAAAATATATTGAACTAACTCTTGTGCTTCTTCTTCGATCGACATAGACATGCTTTTGGTGCCAAATCCAAATTCCCTTAATTGTTTTAGAAAAAATCTTCGCTGTTCTTGCCAAAAATGTTGGTCAACCAAAAGAATTCCTAAAATGTTGAAAATTATTAAATAATTATTTATATTTAAAACAGAATTATATATTTATATATCTTTATATTATAAAATTCGCATCACGGTGTTTGTCCAAGCTCATATTCAAAAATCACTGAACCGATTGCAATAACATTTTGTGAAAGTGTATTTGTTGGTCTAACTTAGGAGATATGATATTTTTTATCTTGATGAATGACCATTATTTTTTCTTAACTATAAATTCAAAATGTTGTTTAGGACTTCACTAATACAGTTTTAGTTCATTTGATCTATGTTATTATAAAATATCAGAAAATGACGTTTAACAAACAGCATTTTACGTTTTTATAACTTTTTTTATAATAAATCGAGAAAGACTAAATCAATTTGCTGTTCTAATAGGTAAGACAATATGATGAAGTTATAAGGGAAATAGTAGAATCAATGGCTTTATTTTGCCATACAAACAGTTATATTATACTCTTATAGAAAATGTTTTATACGATTATACCTCTAAGGAGTCATTCATTTAAACATAAAGTGACGTTTAACAAACTTCAAAGTGATGTCTATTTACTTTTTTTGCTTAAACTTGAGAAAATATGATGAAATTGGAAGGAAAATAGTAAGAGCAATTTTGTTTTCCCATACAAACAATTATTATATATAATACTGATCTATACCATATATTATCATCATATATAAACCTTAATTCGTTGTATATTAAATGTTTTAAAAAATGTGGTTTTTACTCGAGAGTAAAATATTTTTGTTTTTGACAGAATTATTTTTGTTTAGAATTAAAAATAATTTTAAAATATTCATTAATGTTTATTTACAATAAAAAAACTATTTTTGAACATTTTCTCTGCTATAAAGTTAAAAATTTAAGTTTGTGCAATAATTTATTATTAAAATTGAAAATTAAGAATATTAAAATTTACTGAAATGATAATAATTTACAGTCGTTGAGTAGCGCCTAATGGAAGCAACTTGAAATTATTGCAAGGAACGCTGAGAAATCATTTCACATAATATTTCCTTAAGGTGGTATGTCACAATGTTAAAATTTATATACTTTTTAGGTACAGTTATCGTCACTATTTCAAAACCAATCTTCAACTTATGACTATGTACGTAAACTGTAAACTTTCTATTTTAATGATATCTAGTTAAAATTTCCAAAGAAAGCAGTAATTTTTTTATAACTGTACTTAAATGAATCCATGTCATAACTTACGTGGTAACGTGCCTAAAAATTGGTATTGTGTAATAATTTTTGAACTTGGGTACAAAATAACTATTTTAAATGATTAACTATCCAAAAACCTTTATTTTAAGCCAATGTTCGTTATCCATACTGCCGTAATTTTTAAATTAACTGTACCTAAAGATAAAATTACAAGTAAAAGCTGCAAACTAGGGATTTTGTTGATGTCACCGTTATAAGTTGGCATTTTGCTAGTGAGAAATTAGTTCCGCTATCACTTAATAGATGTGAAACTAAGTTCACGTGTCATTTAGTAGAAGGCAGCAGTGATGTATTAAATAGCGACAAATGCGTGTTTGCCGAATTTAAGAACAATCTGCAAAACATTGAAACCTAGTTTTGTGGTTATGCCAATTGTCTATTTGTTGTGCAGTAACCATGGTAATACGAATCACGTGGTTGTGTTTAGCAAAGCGGCCCCTACCGGTTAATATTTTGGCTTCGTTTGACTGTCAATTATCAACCATGATTGCATAACGTCACAGTGTTTTAAAAATACAAGTATACCAGTAATTACAGTTTCATTCACGTTTTGGCAAATTTAATTTTTATAGACAAGACAATATAATGTAATCATTGATTAAATTTTGTCGATTAATTATTTCCGTAAATGAAAAAGATTATTGAAATTTACTTAAGTCATAATTAGAAATCAGATGAAAATCTGAAATTTTCTAAGTAAAAAACTTCTACTGTTAACATTCGATATGAAAAAAAGTAAACGTATTTTAGATTTTCAAACAATTGCAAATTTCTTTATCAGTTTGGAATAAATATTTTTGGGTAGATAAAGAATTTAGAATTGTCGTAAATATTTCCAAATGAATGAACGTTTTGTATATTATGTATTAGCAAAAAAAATGTCAAGTAATTAATATGTTTACTTAAAAAAATCCCTAATCAGCACATCCGCTAAGTGCTGGTGTAAGATAATTAAATTTTACGACTTTTCCGTCTGAGAATGTATTGATGAGTATCATGTATCATATTAATAATATGTATTAGAATTGTATACATAATATTTAGTCGAATTTTTACAACCAGAGCAAGCTGTATTATAAAACCACACTTGTGTAATTTAATACAAAAGTAAATTTTTTTGTACTTAAAATTTAAGTGATTAGTAATTTTTAGATTTTTTGTATGGAAAGAGGTATCACTGATTTTAAGGACACGATTTTTCATTTCTTTAATTAAATTAAGTTTCATTGAATATTTATGGTATGACCAATAATTGAGATATCGACCTGAACTGAGAGGTTTTCTGTACCAATCAACCAGCAAATGGGTACCTTTTCATATTAACTTCGTATCTAAAAAAGGTACTGAACCTGTAGCATCTTCACATTCTAATGTAAATTGAATGTAGGGGTTGTAATTCACTCATGTGTATACAACAAGTATACTATGGTCAAACATCAAGATGCCTTAAAGACCGCATTACATCCCACAAGTCTGATAATAGACTACATCCTGAAAGAATGAAAGAATCGTGTCCTTAAAATCAGTGATACCTCTTTCCATACAAAAAATCTAAAAATTCTTTATAACCTGTTCATTGAAAACTCATACCCAAGTATACTACTAAAGAAAATTTTATTTAACACTCCACAAAATTTAAATAGTCATTTAAGAAACGAAGAAAACATGTCTTTATCACAAGATAGGATTGGATCTGTAGATCCTTTACAAAACCAAACCACAATTAGATATGTATCTCTTCCATACATTAAGGATATTGGGCATAAACTAAGTAGAATTTTTTCATCAATTAATAATATCAAAATTGCATATAAAACGGTACTAACAGTTAACAAAGTTTTTTCTAAACTTAAAGACCAATCCGCACTCTTATCCTTAACGGATGTTGTTTATTGTATACCATGCGGCTCGTGTGAACAAGTATACTATGGTCAAACATCAAGATGCCTTAAAGACCGCATTACATCCCACAAGTCTGATAATAGACTACATCCTGAAAGAAGTGCATTGGGTGAACATGCATTTAAAAATGGGCATCGGATAAACTACAATAACATCAAAGTAGTAGAACAGGAAAGTAACATCACCAAAAGACTTTTTCTGGAAATGGCCTACATTTGCCAAAATAATAATGCAATGAATCATAGAACAGATATTGGCCATCTAAATGAAATGTTCTCTTATTTGTTACTACTAGATAAATGCAACAATAAGACAAACAATAATTTATCAATTGACATTTAAGTAATTAGAAAGTTCATTTTTGAGGAATTTATTTTTTTACAAAGTTAGTTTGTTTAAATTTAATAATTTTTGTTTACACACAGATACTGGGATCATACAAAACAAAATCACAATAAATTGTAACGTTTTTAGAATTACGACCTTATTTATTTATGTTAATTTAATAGGTTTTGTTTTAAAACATTGACAGGTTGAAGTTTCACTTCCTAATGATATTAACAAATATAAAATAATTTATATTTCCACGATATACCTAATAATAAGCCTATAATTTGTTGTACTAGCAGTTGCTTGATATTATGGATGTGAGATTTTCACTTGCCAATGTCAATATCAATGTCATAGATTTTTGTATAAATAATTAAGTTTGTGTGAATGTTGAGTAATTTTTTAAAATTTTAAATATAGGAATAGGTTTTAGCTCAACAGACTGTGATAAATTTTATCAACAATTTTTTTAAAAATCATTTATGATACAAGCTCATTAAGTTTGTAAGTATCGAATTTTTAATTAATTATACAAATTTGTAAAAATTATTCATCACATTTGTAGCTCCCTGATGAAGGACATAACCAATGTCCGAAAGCTTGGAATAAAAATTAAAACAGTACACCTTTCATTTTTATTGCTGCATACCCAATATTTAAAGTTTACTTCCTTACGTGGTCAGCAAATACTTCTGGTTCATTATATATATATATATATATATATATATATATATATATATATATATATATATATATAACACTGTTTTTGAAAAAAAATATACCCATCAAAAACAGTGTTATATTTTTTCCAAACGAGTCACAAGTACTTCTTTTTTCTTATATATATATATATATATATATATATATATATATATATATATATATATATATATATATATATATATATATATATATATCCAGGCTCGGGGATAAAGTATGGAACCAATCTGGCCATATTTTTTGTTATTACTCTACTCCTGTTTTCACCGAAAGTCCCCTGAACTTAAGGTAATTTAAATGGGATACTCTGTGTATTTTCGTAGATTTTAAAAGAACTTTTTATTTCTAATTCATACATATTAAGTTTAGTAGGAAAATTTGGTAAAACCAGAAGTAAATCACTTAACAGGTAAAGAATATGTAAATTTATTTACTAAGACCTGAGAATAAAAATCTTAAAAAATCACTTTAAATGTTCAAAATGCTCAATTCCGTGAGTCACTTTTTGCTAGACTTCATTAGTTCACATTCACCAATAATTCTTTGTTTAAAATCGTGCAAACATGTTGATTGTCTAATGTAAACACGTGATTTTGGATTAACCCAAAGAAAAAATCTAACGGATTAAAGGCCGGAGAACGAGCAGGCCACTCTTGAATCCTCTACGTCTAATCCACTGATTTGGATAAATCGCATTCCAAAATTTTTAACTCGTCAATAATAGAGGAAAGCGCTCCATCTTGTTAAAACCCAAAATTTTGTGTCAATTTTGCTGAAGTACAGAAATAATTTGGTTATTTAGTAAATATAAATACTTGTCACCAGTTAAGTTTCCGTCTATAAAAATTGGGTTTATAATCCTATTTTGGACAATTTCCATCTAAACTCTTAACTTTTTTTTAGCACAATTACCATAACCGATCATTATAAATATTTCAATACGATCTTTTTCACTTCAATAAAAAAATTTTGTTCTACAACTTATTACTGTTGTAGAATATTATTCATTACGAATTGTATTGAAAATAGTTACCTATTAGATAGTACTTTTTTATTTCTTACTACATTGTGTTTTGAATTGGTGGCCGAAATTCATCTACATCATTCTCTCGCCTAGGATGTCTTGATCGATCTTTCTCACGGTCTCTGAATATATAATAAAACCGTCTATAAAAGCAGCTATGTGGTTTAAGATATATCAGGGATCTCGTCTTACTAACAAGATGAATCCCTAAGCTAAGCGCCAAGTCTCAATAGCTCGCAGCGTGTCTACAGACAATTCCAAATTCCAACATCGAAAATATTATAATACCCATGTTCGTCCGTCTAAAGATCTGGTCTACTGGTAAGGATTGATCCCACGTAAACCAATAATCTTCGGAAATAAGAGCTCATGCAACAATCATAGCGGACTACGATTATCTAGTATGATTACCTTTTGACTCTCGGAACTTCAAGAGATATCGTTGCTATCTTGGACTAGACAGGATATGATCTAAGAGATATTATTCACTAGTTACTATAGGGCAAGTTTTCTTGTTATTTGGTCAAGTAGATATCAATCTATCTAACCACAGTGCTATTAAATTTATCATCACTATTGATAATGTAAAGTTGTTAGTGCGTTTTGAAATTAATGAATGAGATTTGAATTCTTGTTTTTGTTTTTTACATTTTGTCTTATAGACTTCGTCAAACTTTAATAGGTTTTTATTGAGTTTAATAATTCTGGATATTTAAACTTTACTTTTAAAAATTATTGAATACAAAATTTACCTTCATAAATTTAACCTGCACATGATTAGTCAATTTCAACACACTTTTTGATCACAAAGACCAATACAAATATACATTTAATAACATAACGAAACATATTTAAAAGGAAAAACATGAGTGGACTACCTTCGATCCTTATTTGCTACTGACGATAATGAACCACCAACACCAGAGGTGACAACAAACGAAAAAATAAATATTGTGGAGGAAGAAACAAAGGAAGCATTAAGGAAATTCAAAAATAAAAAATTACCAGGAGAGGACAGAATATTGAACGAACTCCTAAAGTACGGTGGACCATATCTGACCTAACAACTATTAAAACTAATCCAAAAAATAATATACACAAAACAGAATTCCTCAAGAATTAAGATCTAGTATCCTGTTCCTTTGTTCAAAAAGGGAGACAAATCGGGCATAGAAAATTACAGAGGATTAAACATAACACTAAAATAAACAACCAAAGTAATAACAAATTAAACTGAATGAAATTATAACACTAACAGAAGAACAACAAGATTTTAGGTCGAGAAGATCATGCACCGACGCTATATTTATGAGGCAAGTGTAAGAGGAATCATTGGAATATAACAAACCGGCATATCTATGTGCCGTTGACCTTAAGAATGCATTTGACTGGATTAAATTAAAGAAAGTTATCCACTTATTGTACACAAGAGAGATACCTCTAGGAATAATCAAAACTATTTAAAATATCTACCAAATCAACGCAATAAAAGTAATAGTAGAAGAAGAACTAACTGACCCTATTGAAGCTAGCAATGGATAAGACAAGGAGATTCCCTAAGTCCTCTATTTTATCCATAACCTGATTGTGGATGAAATATTAAAAATAAGTAAGAACAAAAAAAGCTGCTATGCAGAAGACGCAATACTACTCTCAAATTGAAGATGATTTACAATGTATGCTGCACCAGTTTAATATAACCGCCAGAAAATTGAACTTGTCAATTTTCCCAAAAAAAAGACTAAATGCATGGATATAACAGCAACTTTACTAAGATGTAAATTGGAGCTGTAAGGTCAGATATTAGAACAAGTGGTGGAGTTTAAATATCTAGACATAACATTATATAGCAACGAAAAGCTCGAAACTAAAATCGAAGATCAAGTAAATAAAGCACTCAGAGCTGCAGGTTGTGTGAATGAAACAATACGGAGAAATAAACATATCGAGAAAGAAATAAAAGGAAGAATTTACAAAACAGTCATCAGACCAATAATGACATACGCGGCGAAACACGACATGACACAGAGACTGTTAGAAACAGCAGAGATGAAAACAGCAGCAGAAAAATTGATGGTAAGACACTATGGTACAGAGCTATAAGTACAGATATACGAGGTAGATGCAAGGTTGAGAACATCATGAACTGGGTAAGAAATAGAAGAGTAGAATGGAACGCTCTTATAAGCCGAATGATTCAAATAGAGTAGTAAAGACGGCACGAGACGATTAACTTACTGAAAGCACATTGAAAAATAGACATAGTTATGTCTACATAAAAAGAAGAAGAAAAGATATTTATAACCTCCTACAAGTCGTAGGAGATTATCAATGCAGATTTAGACCGAGCCGCTCTACAATTGACCAGATATTCACAATAAAACAGATAATGGAAAAATGCTGGGAGTTTGATCGTGAGCTTCATCAGATGTTCATAGATTTTAAACAAGCATTTGATAGAGTATGTAGGGACATACTGTGGACAGCGATGCAGGAACTTGGCTTTCCAAAAAAACTAGTCAGGTTGATACGGATGTGTATGGAACGGTTACGATGTAAGGTGAGAGTTGGACAACAATACTCGGAGAAATTTGAAATAAACAGTGGACTAAAACAGAGAGATGCACTTTCACCACAACTCTTCAACTTAGCTCTGGAGCACATAATCAGAAGTGCAAGAATCGAAAAACCGAATACAGTATTTCATCGAGAAGGACCAAACTTACTACTGGCATTTGCAGACGATATAGATCTAATAGGAAACACGCGATTAAGGATGAAGGAGACTTTCGTAAGGTTTGAGAAGGAAGCAGAGAAGATGGGGCTCCAAATCAAAGAAAACAAGACGGAATATATGTATATGAGCCGCAATAACCAAAGCAGAGACAGAATCGGTCAGAACATTACCATCGATGACTTTAACTTTGAGTGCGTTAGAGAATTCAAGTATCTTGAAACAACAATAACTGAAGACAATAACGGATCACAAAAAATATACAACAGGATTCAGGCCGGCAACAGATGTATTTTTGCCCTCCAAAACCTTATAAAATCAAAATAACTAACACGACGTACGAAGATACAGGTCTATCAAACAATTATACGACCCATTGTGATGTATGAAAGCGAAACGTGGACGATAACAAAGGCAAATGAAGAGAGACTACGTGTTTGGGAAAGAAAAATCCTAAGGAAGATCTTTGGTCCGGTGCTTGATGAAGCATCAGGACAATATAGGATAAGAACTAATAAAGAGCTTGAAGAACTTTACCCAGACGCCAACATCATAAAAGAAATAAAGTCCAGAAGACTCCAATGGGCAGGACACCTCAGAAGACATTCTGACGAACGAACAGTAAGACTAGTGTGGGAGGAAGTCCCAACTGGAAGGAGACCACGCGGACGCCCTCGTCTCCGGTGGCGAGATAATATAGCAGGAGACCTAAGCACTATGGGCGTGGAGAATTGGATGGAGGTTGCTCAAGACAGAAAACAGTGGAGGCATGTTGTCGAGTCGGCTAAAACCCACGAAGGGTTGTAACGCCACGGAGTAAGTAAGTAAGTAAGTACAAGTCGTAAGTTTTTTTAGTTTTATAGTACTTACTATAAAAAATACTCTTAAAGTATTATACTTTACTTTAAATTTACGTACTGGATGCGTTCAAAAATAATATTTTTTACTTGTGGTTTTGAGGTTTTGAAAATCTACTTACACAATACCAAACCTACTAAAAAGTGTTAACTTTAAACACTTTTTTATCTTTTATCTTACCTCTTCGTTTTCCCCATGTTCTTTTATCGAAGAATTCTCCAATTGGTCGACCTGAAAGATCCTCAGACAATAAGAACTCCTTATTTGCTGCATATCCGTTAACGATAACAATAACTTCTGTACCAACTTTTAGTCCCAAAATTGGACCATATTTTTTGGCTAATTCTGACGTTGCATACACAAAATGATTTGTGCGTTTCTGAATGCTTGCTATTTGAGGGGCGGACCCGAGAATTGGCCACCACTTTGGGCCCGGTGGAAAATTTTTAGGTTTCTTGGTATCATAATAGGCTAGTAAACATAATAAAAGAACTGCCACTATAATAAGAAACAACATATCTGAAAAATAAGAAAACAACTTTTAGTAGTATATTTACCTTTTATATAAAGCCAAAGAAAAAAACAGATGTGGTAGCCAGTGGGACTGCCGGTAGAAGTTATACTTTCTATACATGCGTTCGCTGTTACAAATTTATATGGGAGTCAATCTGCACAATCATTACATATGTAATGCTATAGGTAAGACAGAGCAGAAAAAGAAAAAGAATTAGTTATATAGGTGTATGGTGCAACGTTTGCTGTATATAAACATTTGGCCTGTAGGAGTATAGTAAATGAAGGATTGTATCAATATTTTAGGATCAAGGAATTAAATGCAAAAAAAAAATTTACACACACTCTGCAGTAAAAATCATTGTTTATTTTGTTATTAATATAAAAATTACAATACAATAAATACACTACAATATAATTCAATATAATAATATAATAGAAGTTAAAATATAATATTCATAAGTATTTAAAACTGCCAATATACATAACTTACTTTACGAAGATAAAAATAAAAAACCAACAACTCGGATTATGTTGTAAATTTTCATTTTATTTTAAAATTTAGCCATTTTGCGTATATTACATATATTTAATAAGATTAACGTGAGGTTGGGATTCGTGAGGATAATTGGGACTCGAACTCACAAACACCAGCGTATGAACCAAGCACGTAAACGATTTGCTAATTAGACATGACACTAACGGATTTCAAAATTGACAGTTCTCTGTTAAACAGTGATTATTTTGAAATACAAAAGCCTAAAATAATTATAAACGTTTAATAAATAATACAAAACATATCGCATAAATAAGAATATTAATACATATTATATTATATATACAGTGTGGAAACCACTTATGGAATAAAATTGTTTGTGTCATTATTATAGAATATAATAAAAAACTCTGGGATACATTAACCTTTAAATTTAAATGGGCGCTTTTTAAAAATAAGTTTAAATGTACAGGGTGATCCACGCAAGTCTGGCATAGTCCATAATCCTTATTTTTAATGAAACACCCTGTATATTTTTATGTTTTTAAATTACTTTTAACAACCGGATTTCAATGAACTATATCATGTAGGGTCTATAATGAATCATAGAAGGTGAAATTTTGAAATTAATAATTTATCACGTGTTATGATATTATTCTAAATTAGCTAAATACAGACAATAGACTTCTACTCCAAGTGTCAGTACACTGTATATTGGGGAAAATGTCTGTTTAGTAACCGTGTTAACATTTTTTGTCGTGAATAGGTAAAAACTGTATCGATAGTCTGCTAATTAAACTAAATCGGTAAATATTGCGGATTGTTATCAATCAGTTGACATGCTGTTGACATTTTACATTAAAATAATAAATTCTTAATTTTTTTTTATTGAGTTAATGCCTCGACAACTATGATCATTGGCATGGTACAGTCAGGTACCTAGTGTAGTGTGTGTGTGTGTGTGTGTGTGTGTGTGTGTGTGTGTGTGTGTGTGTGTGTGTGTGTGTGTGTGTGTGTGTGTGTGTGTGTGTGTGTGTATGTGTGTGTGTGTATATGTGTGTGTGTGTGTGTGTGTGTAGAGTAATTGTCTTGATACTTAGCAAAGTCGACGTCATTGTCTTTGCTAAGAGACGCTAATTATATCCGAACGTCTGCGGTCCCTCTGGTGAGTACCGATCGCACAAGGATAGAAATTATTTTCATTCATTAATTTTTAATAAACGAAAATTTCTCCACCCTGATGATATTCGAACTCTCGACCTTTAGGTTTAAAGGTAGGCGCTCTTACCGCTGAGCCACAGAGGGGGTTAAATTCTTAATTAAAAACTAATTTCTTGCAGAAATAAAAATGAAATATTTAACTAAGGCCCACTGAATTGAGATTTTAATGATGATCGGTTACGGGGAGAATTGTAGAAGTCAAGTTGAAGTAGTAAACTTATTTAATCAGAGGTATCCTCAGCTGCCTAATATTTCACAAGGTACTGTCTCTAAAATTTATGCACAATTCAGAGAGCTTAGATATGCCAAACCATTAAAAAGAAAATCGAACTTCATTGAAGATGAAGTGAAAGTGGATATTTTGTTAAGTGTCGCAGAGAATCCAACGTCAAGTCACGTCAAATTGCACATCAAAATAATATGAGTCACACAACTGTCTTAAGGTGTCCCCATGAAGAAAACTTCATCCATATAAATTGACATTTGTGCAGGAGCTAACAGAAGACGATCCGGATCGTAGAATGGATTTCTGCAAAAGAATGAGGGATAAAATTAACAAATGAAATAGCTCTTGGCACAATTGTTTTTTCTGATGAATCAAAATTTACATTAAACGGAGAGGTAAACTGACAAAACTGTAGATATTCGTCAGCGGAGAATCCTCATTGGATGCGTGAGACACACACTCAGTATTCTCAAAAGTTGAATGTTTGGGCAGCTATTATAGGAGATCATATTATTGGTCATATATTTATAGATGATAATTTGACAGAGGAAAAATATTTAAGTATGCTAAGAGACGATGTTCTTCCTTAGTTGGCTAACTTATATCATAATCCAATAGATCCGACCCTACTGCATGAAACTGTCTGGTTCCAGCAGGACGGTGCAACACCCCATTATGCTTTAATGGTGAGAAATTACTCGAATGAAATCTTCTTCAATAAGTGGATTTGATGAAGGGGACTAGAGAGCGGCCAGCTAGGTCGCCAGATCTTACGCCTTTGTATTTTTTTATGGGGTTATCTCAAGAACAAAGTATATGCAACAAAATCAACTATCATTGAAGACCTCAAAAAGTAAGGATAACTACAGAAATACGGAATATTTCACCTCAAACTTTAAACAAAGTTCAGAACGAGTTTTATAGGAGACTGTGTTATTGCCAACAACAAGGTGTAGAACATGTTGAGCATTTATTTTAATGTAATCCAATCAATTACATCGGGTATTCTATGAATTCATTGTCTTGACGAAAATACCTAATTTTAAAATTTCGCCTTGTATTATTCATAATAGACCCTACATGATATAGTTCATTGAAATCAGGTTGTTAAGGAACTTTTAAAAACATGAAAATATACAGGGTGTTTCATTTAAAATACAGATTATGCACTATGTCAGACTTGCATTGATCACCCTGTATATTCAAATTTATGCCTAAAAAGCGTACAATTAAATTTAAAAGTTAAGGTATCTTAACGTTTTTTATCATTTTCTAAAATAAGCACACAAACAATTTTATTTATATATATATATATATATATGTATATATATATATATATATATATATATATATATATATATATATATATATATATATATATATATATATCTATATATAAAAGGAACATTTTTATTCTCGAGACAGAAAGAGAGAAAATATATTTTCTGTCTCTCTCTTACTCATTATCTTACGTATATAATGGTTTCACAGATTCACTCCCATGCAAATTTCCAACGCCGACCGTGCGTATACAAGTATAACTTCAAAAAGAAGTATCAGTTTATAAGTGAAACATATTTACGTTATTATTGGTCAACTTTTTATTTGCAAAAAACAATAGTCTTGAAATGAAACTCCCATGCAAATTTCCAACGCCGACCGTGCGTATACAAGTATAACTTCAAAAAGAAGTATCAGTTTATAAGTGAAACATATTTACGTTATTATTGGTCAACTTTTTATTTGCAAAAAACAATAGTCTTGAAATGAAACTCCCATGCAAATTTCCAACGCCGACCGTGCGTATACAAGTATAACTTCAAAAAGAAGTATCAGTTCATAAGTGAATCATATGTACGTTAGTATTGGTCATTTTTTTATATGCGAAAAACAATAGTCTTTTTTTTGTATCAAATTTTTAATTACCAAACTCAATTTTAAATTATTACCAGGCCAACTTTTAGTAATACCTCCTACTCCTGACTCGAACCCTTCCTCGAAAAGCACAGAAATTTCTTAGACTGAGTAGCGCTTTATGTAGACTCCGACCAACACGTCAGATTAAGTGGACTCCGTAATCGGATAAAACATTTTTGGGGCCCGTATATGACTTTTAGCGTACCCTTCTAATCTCCGTCGATGTTGTTAAATAATTGTATTAGTATTAGATTTTTAAAATATTATACGGCAGAAACAATGACAATGACTTTACAGCTGATTGCCACGTAATTATCAATCTAACGGAAATATGATGATTTTGCCAGAGCATAAGCATATTGCCTCATACTGTTATATAGTAATTTGTTGTCACAATGTTTAAACTTGTGTTTGCTGGTAAATCTTGTTTCAGATTATAATATCTGAGACGAAATGGACTCGATTGATTCTCTATAACTTTATTGCTCTTTACACTTGTAGCGGTAATAATTGACTGAGAGCCTGTTAAAGGTCGATTAAGACACATCAGTCACGTCTCGTCACAGTCCTGGCGCCGAACCGAACAATCCGTCATACAAAATATTCTTTAATAGAAATATGGTGTCGGCATTCACATTCATCAGTTGACGAACAGTTTGGCAGATAGTTGATAGTTCTGTGACCAAACAGGACCGGTTCGGCGCCGAGACTGTAACGGGACTGATGTGTCTGAATCGACCTTAAGGCAACTGTCATAAACCTTGACTTTTGGCGGCGTTGTCATTACAGTGTTGTCAGGTGCATTACAAAATGAAAAGTAAAAATATACGAACATAACTCCCCCCTTTGAAGGGACTTCAATGTAACATACAAATATAATATACTAAAATACACATAATAAATGTAATAAAAAATTTAAAAGGAATTGTCTGCAATGGAATTTTTAAATAATGTTTAAATAATAATAATGGAAATAAAGGTTTTAATTCACTGTGTCCTCTTCTGTAGGCAAAGGACATAAATGTCTCACGGAACAGATCACAACCTTTGAAAATGTTTTCACTTCTGCCACTCGCTAAACTCCATCCTTTCCAGGGAACAAACGTAGAAAAGGGAAGGAGGGTTTAGATTTATTATCTGGTAA